ACCCATATTATTTTTTTCAGTCTGCCCCCCCACCCCCAGCCTCCCTCCTCACACCTGCCCTTTTGGCATTCCAGACTTGCTCGGAGACATCGCATATTTATCAAGTCCGCGTGCATGTCGACGTACGAATGGATGCACGATGATCAGTTCAATTGAAAATTTGCGTCTGCATGACAGGCCGACCTGACACCGCCTCACATAATTAGAAAGAAAAACGACGGCGTCCGCGATGCATAATAGAGCAAAAACAATTTACCCCCCCCCCCACCCCCGGGAATGATCCCGCCGTTCAAATTGCCACCCGCGGTAATGATCCCGCCGTTCAAATTGAAAATTTCTGCGGCTATACGGGCCCAAATTGAATTCATAAAGTGTGATTCATGGGCGACACGCCGCTCCTCTTTTTTTTTTTTTTTTCTTTTTCACAACGCACAGCCCCATCGATTGATGGTTCTCTTCAAGCATTGCAGGCGTGCAGCTCCCGGGCAAGAAAAAGCTTAACTACTTAAGCAAATCGCTAATTTCACCTTAAGGCCACCAATGTGCAGCCAGCGATACTCCTATTCAGCCTGCTAATGAATTATAGATGAACTGGGCACACGTCCCACATAGCCTCAGAGAGCAACGTGCATGGAAAAAAATAAATAATATACACATTCAATTTTAGTGCAAATTGGAGCCTCGAGGGAAAATATAGAAAGAAAAATGCACTTTTTTCCCTTTGTCATTGTGACTCTTATAAGACACCTGCTCAACATGAGTAAAAAAAAAAACACCCTTTCAAAGATTGCCATTTTTGATTGACACAAGTAGCGGTGTGTTCTGTTATTTGCAAAGGAAGCAAAATTATTTGCTTCCATATTTTAGTTTATAGGCATAGTTGACACACCTGTAAACGAACACAATAGTGACTATATGTTTACATTATTGAGGGCGTCAATCCAAACGGCAAATTATCATTAAAGGCGTCTAGGAAAAAAATGACCTAAAATAATTCACAACTCCACCAAGGACAAACACCTCTACATTATACATTATAAAATGGGAACGGTGATAATAAAATAAAATAAGCAGAGAGCAAGCTGCATATAATCCCCCACATGTTCTCCCTCCTCTCGCCCTAATAAGAGCATGTGCAAACAGCTGCAAGGGTGTCAATTTATGTAAATGTGTTTATATACCTGTGATGACTTAAAGCCTCAGCACTTTACTATATTTGTGTAAAAAACAAAAAACACCACAAGTTCATGCAAAAAAAAAGGCTGGATTCGCTATTTAGTGCCGTATTATTATTAGATAAATACATGGCTTCCACATGTCTTGGACATGATATTGTGCAATATTGGCAAAGGAATCGTGCAGGAGGCGGCGGCGGAGGGGAGGCAGCAGATGTCCCAGATCCCGCTCGGCCTCCCCGGGGAGCGCCATCCCTATTAGAACAAATGTGTTGTGCCATTGTAAATAGCCACGTTCGGCCCGGGCCGCCCCATTACAGCCCGGTCGTGATCAATAGGCTGATAAGAGCCCGACATGGACGTGAAGGCGACACAACAATGAGCGGATATCATCGAACATCTATCTTCATGTGCACCCCCTCGCCTCCCCCGCGCAATCCCCCTTCTGGTCCACAGGGCCCCCCCTTCCTGACAACCACACACACACACACACGCACACACACATATAGAGTGTGAGCTCATGAAAATGCCTCCCCACGATCCAATAATGCACACATGCACGCAGCTGCCGAGGCTATTATTTTCCTATTTCAATTTGACACCCAGGCCTTTTCATGCTAATTCTATTATTCCTGGAAGTTTATGTGATTTCATATCGCCACAAATCGGTAATGTATTCCCCCCCCCCTCCCCCCTCCCCTCACACCCCCCCCCCGCCCCCACATTTTTTTTTTTTGTAGAGCTAAAATAAACCGTATTCCCCCCGCAAAGTAGCCACCGGGAAAATAATTACTTTCATATCAAAACTCTGCAGGAGTGCAGCGGCTCCCTTTTGCCTCAGGCTTCTAACCTCATTTCATCTTTTGGAGTGTGTGTGTGTGTATGTGTGGACATGTGTGTGCGTGCATGTGTGTATGTGTTATAGATGAATATATTTGTTAAGGCAATGTACAAAATGCAACTTGCAATTCTCCCCAGAAGAAGAAAAATTCACGTGATTGACTGGCCCTAAACCAAGAAGTGTTGTTGTCGCCTTTAATACAAATTTACAAAAATATAACACGAGAGCATCGCCCCCACCCCCCACCTCCAAATGGAAAAGAAAAAGTAAAGCCTCTATGCGGTGAGCTCGTGTTACCCGGAAGTCTTTATGTGATGCTAAATAAATAACGGCATATATATAAAAATATATATATATATATATATATGCCGTTATTTGAAACCAAAACGCAAAATACAACATGACATTTCCCCACGAAGAAGAAAAGCGCTCAGAGCTGCTGTGATTTGTTGTCCTTTTCGAAGTCATGTCGCCATTTAATATTAAAAAAACATATACGGTCCAACACCCTCCCGAAACAAACTTCATACGTGATTGGCTGACTCTACGGAGATGTATTGCCGCCATTTAAAAGTAAAAGTACACTGCAAAACCAACGCAAAATACAACATGATTATTTTCTTCCTTTTTATATAGATTTGAATAGGTTTGAAGTCTGAAAAAAAACTTCAAATCTATGACTCCCCCCTCCCCCTTCAGAAAAACTCTCATGTGATTGGCTGGCCCGACCCGGAAGTCTTGTTTTCGCCATTTAAGGTCGTACACGCGTCAGAGGTGATTGTATACAATAGATTTATTTAAGAAAAAAGCTTCACATATGTAAATAAATAGTATAGTCGTTTCTTTGTTGTTCACAGCTCTTGAGAGTTTTGTTTTGTTTTCTGACACGTTTCAAAGGATATCTAGACACTCACACTCAAAGGGAGAGGAGAACCTAACGTGGCAAAGTTGAGCTTTGGCCTTAACTTTTTAAGATGTTCGTTCTCGTTACCCTCTTGCTTTTCATGTTTATTCCGTTTTTTCGTGACAGTTCGGCGGCGGTTCTACAGGGCTCTCCTCTAAATGTTCCTTCCCGCATTGTGTGCCATGTTCATGGCCCAAAGTCCCAGGGCTGCTAGACCTCGACCCCGCCCGGTCCCTGTCCGCGGACCCCGGGGAGAGCCTCCTGCACCCCGAAGAGGCAGCGGACTCGTGGACGCTGGGCGCCTGGTGATCCTCGGAACCGCTGTCAGGATTCGAAGCGGTTTTTAAGGCCGTCTGAGGGACAATGAATCCGAGCGGCTGCGTGATGGGGTAGAGCAGAAAGTGGCCTTTCCCAATGAGGGGCCGAGAAGCGGGTAAGGCCGCGGAGTTGCGTCTGGGTCTGGAGTCCGACAGGAGACTTTCCACGCTGAACGGGTTGAGTTTCTGCAAGCCGGAGGTTCGGTTGGTGCCGGAACACAGGCTCGAGCGGTGGCTGGCGTCGGACGAGTCCAACTCCGAGCCGCCAGCGTCCTGGTCCAAGTGTCTTTGGTTCTGACTCGGCGTGTTTAACGAGTTAGGCGCCGGCTCGCAGAGCGGTTTGGTGAGGTCCAAACGCGGGCCGGCGCCGTGATCGCTGTCGGTGACGTGTGACAAGCCGCTGTCGCTGTCCGATCCCGGGGTGTGGAATAGATCCCCGTGCAGGTGCTTGTTCTGAGCCTTGAGCAGGCGGCGCTCCTGTTTGCGTTTTTTCTTCTCCAGGCGGTCCAGTTCTCGCCGGGCGATCTCCTCCGGGTCCATGGGCTCGCCGCTGCAGGTGGTCGGGTGTGCGTTGTGAGCGGGTCGGCCCGGACCTTTCTTGGTGTTCTCTTTCTTCCTCCACTTGGCTCGGCGGTTCTGGAACCAGACCTGCATGCATGTAGAGCGAGACAAAGCAGGTGTGTTTTTTTCTCCATTTTTCCCTCGAAACAAATCAATTAAACGCAACAATGTTTTAATTAACCAACTGGTCCTGCTGTTTTGTCACATGCAAGGACCCTGAATAGGACTTTTAATTGGCCAATCTGTGCACACACAGACACACGACAATAACTGAAGGGTTGTTAATAATAACTATCAGGTATACGTGTAAATTATTTTTTTTTATCCTGCATGTGCAATATTGAGCCAGCAAACTTAAACCATCTATTTACGAAGCCATATTTTCTGGATCGTCTATTTGTGACTAAAAGGCCATAGGCCACCATTTAAATTAATTTGAACATATTCGATTTCATATATACAGTATGTAGTAGTTGAGCATTGCTAAATGTCACAACACGGACGGGTTTTTATAAACTTATCAAAGCTTTGGTGGTCTGTAAGCACATAATTTTAAACAAATATAATTAAGTTTTAACCGGCCGTATTCAACAGAAAAAAATGCACATTCTTAAAAAAAAATGTAAAACGCTAAAATGGAGCCCTAGCCGATATTTTTTTTAAACATAACTACAAACTTGCAGCTTGACCCACAGCACTTAAAACCCGTTTTCCAAACGTGCCGAAAGGAGGAATCCAAAGTTGTACCTGCACCCTGGACTCGATGAGGTCCAGTCTGAGGGCCAGAGCCTCCCTCATAAACACGTCGGGGTAATGGCTCTCGTTAAACGCCTTCTCCAGCTCCTCCAGCTGCCAGCCGGTAAAATTTGTGCGCGTTCTTCGTCTCTTGCAGCCGGGACTCTCCTTGTCCAGATCTCCCGAGTCTACCAGCAGAGCACAAGCATGCATATTTATGATATGAAACATCTGGCTGGATGTGGTGTTTTGAAGCACGCAGCCACAAGTCTGCCTCCTTGTTTACAAGAGGAGCAATCATTTGTTTGCATTTAGTGTCTTTTTTTTCCGCCAAGGGGATGCATTAGAAGGGAAATGATGCTGCTTGTGCTCGTCATGCGTGACAATTGCTCATTTCCCCAACAACCGCGCAAGCACCGAAGCGCTCTTATACCTGTCAGTTTGTACGGCTGATTGTCTCCGTTCATCCCGCAGCCAGACGCCAGCAACCCGCCGGAACCGCCCACGGACGCCGCGCACGACCCATTGAGTAATCCGTCTATGGAGAAGGGGACGGCGGCGGCGGATTGGAGCTGGTGGCCCGCGGCCAGTTCGTAGACGTGATGGTGGCTCAGGTGGTACGGGAAGCCCACCATGCCTCCGCCGCCACCGCCGCCGAGGGTGCCTCCGAACTGGGCGTGAGGCGGCTCCAATATCCGGCTGTCCATCATCCCGCGGGCGTCTGCTGGTGGGCCGGTGATGTGTATAGGGGTGGGATTGTTATGCTTTTTTTTGGGGAGGGGGGGTTGGGGGGGTAGTTTATAAAGCACGCAAAAGCGAGTCTGGCCGACGAGGCGGGGGCATGATGTGTACAAGGCAGAGATGAGCTCCACTTTATCCACATGAACCTTCCCGGATAATTAGCCCGAGCTTGTGGGGAATCCGAGATCCAATGAGAGGCGGAAATGGATGGTGACGTCACAGGCGCGTCCCCCATTCCCCACTCCACCCCCTTCCGTATCGATTGCTAATTAAGGCTGACATCCACCTCAATAAACAATATCAGAGCTGTCACAACAAGACAAGAGGGCTTTGATAAGAACTACATTGCGGCTTACACCGGGGACCCACCGGGAGGAAGGGCTGCCTGCATCCCGGCGCGGGGAGCAGGCAGGCGGATAGCTTGGAGCAGGAGTCGCCGCTCCTGCACGGAGAGGCTTCCAGACACCTTTTACTTTGTTTTACTCATTTTGTTGCAGATAATGCTGGGAGCATACAAATCCGACGTCGACTCACTGATTTATTTGTATAATCGTACTATTTTGAAGGCATGCAATATTTACATTTTATTACAAAAAAAAAAAGCTGATGGGTGAAATATGGCTGCCGAAAAGTCATTTTGAAATGCACGTCTCGCTACAATGCATCCATGTAAATGAGACCAGATTAAAATAATGACAGTGCAAGGACCTTGCTGCAACAATCCAGATCACACCATTAGTTCCCCAAGCGATGCATTAAGCTTGCCAAGTGTGGACGTGTCACAAGGTGCTTAATCAGAGTTGAAATTTGGAACCGAATCCTCCCTCCACCCCAAGCCACCCACTCCTCTTCCTCGGTGACCCTTGACACCTGGAGTGGCATGTTGTAATAACCCGAGTCTCTCAACAGATGCCGCGATGATTGTTACCCTATTAGCATGCAAATTGTTTAATTAATATTATTATGAGGGAAGGATATAATCCGCTCCTCACTTGACCCTCTCCTGCTCGCAGAAACAAGCCTCCACATACATTTGAATGAACTGCGAGAAATTGAGCTCGTGTCTTGAAAGATTTTTTTTTTTAACTTTCATCTTAAAGTGCCCGGATGAGACTTTATGCCGTTTTTGTGTTATTATTGTTATTGTTTTGTTTTTTTTTTGTAATCTAGACAATGAATAATTGCTTTTGCTCAATCTGTAAATTTATCATGCGGGGGCAAAAGCTCTTGGCGGAGTCTCCTAAGCCACAGTCTCTTTTGCATTTATACATGTCTTTGCTTTAATTAACCCGATAATAAGACGAACACTGCCCTGCCTTGTTACCTTTTTTTTTTCCATCGTGGCAACTGCCCCCTTCTTAAGCAGGTACAAAAAAAATGTCTGGAGGTTACCTGGTGCTGCCACATCAACTCATATTGATGCCTTATTGCATACATTTTTTTTCATATTGAACCAAATGTGTATGATTATGTGCGGATTTTTCCCCACAGGGGCCAGCTCACTTTAAGATCACTTTAAAAGATAAAACAGTCTTTTTTTCCCCTCCATTTAACATTACAAGGCCAGTGGATTTCTTCAGCACAGCCGTGGTAGTCAAGGATTGGATATGTGACTGTTTGCCATCCTGCTTTTTGTCTTTTAAGGCTTTTTAGTAAACTGTGCAGCACAGAAGTAACACATAGCACAAACATTTAACGCTGGTTTGTTCTAATACTTTCAAAACAATAAAATAAAATGTTTTGTAAACTCAAAATTGAAAGGCAACAAACTTTGGTAAAATTGTAAGTTGGGCAAAAAAAGATATTTAAAATTTTGCTCATGTGAAAAACTGCCTTTCCCTTATTTACTACAAAGAAAGAAGAAATTACAACCCTAGTTGTCCCTTATATTGTCCCTCAACTTACCCCATTTGTGGGCAGTTTATCATGTTATCAGGTTACAGGTTCTCATTATTGGTGCACAAAAGGGTTAAAGAAGCAAAAACAATTCAGCAAATTGCTTTGGAGCAAGCAACCTGCTTGCTTTGATTCCGTTTATGTCGATGGTAGTTTTGCTCATTTTGGTGCGTTTTATGTCACTCTAACCTATATTCTGTCCTGCTAATTTAAACTCTTGAGACACCTTTTTTTTTTTGTTAAAATTTAAACGTATTTTATCAAACCCAAAACCTGGTTGAAAGTAAATGTTGAAAAATAATGCACCTGTTCGACCTGCACACACACACACAAAAAAAAAAGGCATACAAGTCGTGTCTCGGCCTTATCACGATGCCCATCCACGAGTGCCAACAAAGATGCCTTCTTATAGCAGCACCGGGCATCAAATTCATTTTTAATTAGGCAGGAAAATTAATAGGCGGCAGTTTAGGGGGGGTTTAATTACTCAATTAACTTCACGCACGTTAATTTTTAACCATCTAAATTAGGTTGCACATTATTTGATTTGGTGATAATTATAGAATTAAATCTAAATTAATTGTTTTATTTTATTTATTTATTTTTTCCGGGACGGTTTGGATGAACTAGATGCAGTTCCAATTAAACAGTATAAAAAGACAGAGAGAGAGAGAGGGGGATATGTTGGTTGCCATTTTAAGCCACCGCAAATCCTTTGATTCGATTTCGAAGCAATGCAAAGAAAAAATAAATAAATAAAGGAAGGAAGTGCCTGGAAATATCCCCCCCCCCCGCCCTCCCTACCCCCTCTCTCGTTCTGATCCTTGCAAATGCTCTGCGCCCCCCCACCCCTCTTCTAATCCCACAATTAAAAGTTTCCTCCCATCTAATTATCTGTAATTGTGCCGCTGTCAAAGTAGAATGGAGAAGTGAAAGCGATTGATTTGGACTTTTTAATTCAGTTCGTTTCTGATTGAAGAGAAAGTAATTCCCTTCAAATTACCTCATTCAATCCTGACATCCTAATGCCCTTCAAAATCCCCCCCGCACTCATCTTTCTCTCGCTCTCTCTCTTTGCTTCGTGTTAAAAAAATGAAGCTTGCACTGACTCGTGCCTCCTCATCATAATAATAATAACCAAACTTCCATTAGAATAATCATTTCATTTCAATTAAAAGTGACTTATCACCTTTGCTAAAACGTGCTTAATATGCCGAAAATTATGAATGCTTGAAGGAGCCCAAAGTGGGGAGTCTAATTGTAATCAGCAAATCAGAGGTGCTTGTCGTCGACGTGCCTCTTTTTTTTTTTCCTTTTCTTGCGGAGAGGCAGGCAGCCTCGGAAATAGAACTAATTTACTAAACTCCCCGGGGAAATCCGCTCAACAGATTAACATTTTCAAAATATAGTAATGATATAATTTGAGAAATGGTGACGCCAATTTGCGAGGAGCCTTTGTGTGGAATCATTTGCATTTTTTTCCATCCCCTCCCCTCCTCTCTTCTTCTTCCTCCTGCTTCCTTCGCCTGCATTTCTCCCCTTGTTAATTACAGCGCTGGATAAAGGGTGCACGCTCCTTATTATTATTGTGATTCAACTTTAAGACATCAAAAATAAAGTGGAGCCAAATTTGAAGCCACCTCTTTATTATAATCCCCAATGATTGCGGTTGGGGGAGGCCAATTTGTGTCAAAATGGACTCCATGCAGTACTGTATTCAACGTGATAAAATACATCCTCATTATTATTATTATTCGCTTTATCGTGACGGTGGAACTTCCTTAAAGTCAAACAAAATGTTCTGGGGAAAGGTCTGCTTCCAAAGTCAAACGAAGTAGGAAAAGTGTCTGTTGGCTGAGTCCAACATGAGCGAACTGATTGGAAGGGATTTGAAAAATAATCTCAGCTACCAGGGACAGCTCCCCCCTAACAACAGTCTTGTTTCATAGTTCCAGCCGTTTAGTATTTCCACATGAAGTCATCTTCGGCCTGCAAAGGGAGCCCCGTATTGAATCCTGACACTCTTGGAAGAGTTGGCAAAAAAAGGTAAGCTTAAACTCCATACGCAAGGCCTGAGAGATGTCGTTAGCACGGTGGAAACTTGGCTTGGCTGACTCTCCCTTGTTGCTTCTCACATTACTGCAGAGAAAGTTGTCCATTATGTTCTGTCGCTCGGCCATCTGCCGCTGCACAAAAATATCCCAAACCCGAGAGAATAATGACGGTTAAAATCTGCACCAAATAACAGATGAGGGCTCAAAGTGGACTTTTTTTTCCCCTCCCCTTTTGTTTCTTGTATCCAATCTAACTAAGCACACTTTTTGTTACTGTCCAAGCGACACTTGTGTTCTCTAAATGTCATCCGGCTGCTGTAAAACTGATCCCTGATCAGGCTGTTAACCCTCCTTGACCCCGATCACCTGCCACATCTCATCCATTCCTCAAGGGAACGTTCCGGTGTCCATAAACAGAGCTGTTGCGCCCTCTAGCGGCTGTTAGACGACAGTGGTAGCACTGCTCAATGCATGAAGTGACACTTGAAAAGGTTTTGAATACAAAGTACAAAGAGCAGCAATGAGGATGAAATCTAAACTAATCAAGACAAATAATAACGGACTTATGTTGATATATCCTCGAATTATTTTAAAATGCGTATTAAATAAATAATAATAATTATGTATAATGCGGCACGGTGGACGACTGGCTAGCATGTCCGCCTCACAGTGCCAGAGGCGCAGCGTTCGATTCCGGCTCCGGCCTTATGTGGAGTTTGCATGTTCTCCGCGTCCCTGCGTGGGTTTTCTCCGGGTGCTTCGGTTTCCTCCCACATTCCAAAAACATGCACGGCAGGCTGATTGAACAATCAAAATTGTTCCTGGGTGTGAGTGTGAGCGTGGATGGTTGTTCGTCTCTGTGTGCCCTGCGATAGGCTGGCAACCGGTTCAGGGTGTCCACCGCCTACTGCCCGAAGACGCCTGGGAGAGGCTCCAGCATCCCCACCCCCACCCCCCCGCGACCCTTGTGAGGATAAAGCGGATCAGAAAATGGATGAATGGCATGTGTGTATAATATTATTAATTGAAAGTCTTCTTTGGAAATGAAGAGGTATAACTACGGATACTCATATAAACTTGTAAAGTACGTTTGTCAACTTGCACAATATTGTTCATAAAGTTTAGTGAACTTGTGATAGAAATGAATTGTGAAAAAATAAAGTATGATCGAAAACCTTGTTTACGATATGTAAAAAAATAAACTCCAGTAGCACCTCGAACTTTCCAGTCCGTTCCCGGCCATTAAGTATGACGGAAGTGCGCGTGACGTGTGATGTCACGATGATGTCATTGTGTGGGTGGTGCGTGTTTTGACACAGCACAAATATCCATGGTTGAGCCTGCCGAGATGTGTTGGTGTGTTTGTCGTCTCGAGATCCGCGAACGTTGCATGGTGTTGATCTAACGCGAATAAAGCTTGACATTGACCATTTTATTTAGTTTTTACGTCTTCGCCTTCTTACTACGACTGAAAGACCACAACGAGATTGGAACTGGTGAGTTAAAACGTCACTTTTACAACTATCGAGCTAAAGCTAATGTTCGCTCTCATTTTGCTGAGCGTTCGCCCTACAAAAATGATAAAAATATATTTTTTTCATCGGACGTGATCTGAACAATCCTGGAATGTGTTGCGTTAAACAACGTCACGCATTTATTAATTGATTGGTTTCTTTATGTATGAAGTACAGCATAATAAATATTGATGTTAGCCACTTGCTAGCTGCTAGCGCATAAGTGTTAGTGAGAAATCGGAACGCTGGTGGCCGATTTAATAGCATCGTATTACCCCGAATTAGTCCCGAGTCAGTCCATAATGGCTTTCGTCTATATTAGTTATGTAACTAAACCCAGCTCATCGCTAATCTTTTGAGTTAGCATAGCCCGGCTAGTGAGCTGTATGTTCTCTGGTTGGTTATTTGTAATTCCTGGTTTTCCTCTGGATTCATGGCGGAAATCCAAATATGTGTTCCCCCGGCGTTACCGAGTGTACAGTTGACCGGCTTTCGCGTCCTGATGCGATCGTGAACGTACAGGTGTGTTTTTTGTTTGCAAAGTAACGATGACTTGACATAACGGCAGCTAATGCTACTAGCTCGCTAGCAAACACCCCCAGGACTCTTGTGTTTACATCATCACTGTCCCAGTTTCTACTAACATCAAATCAATTAAAAGTCACTGCGTTTTCTATCTTTAGTTGAGCCTTCTATTTGAATGCCATGGAGTTTCCAGATTTGGGGGAGCACTGTTCAGAGAAGACCTGCAAGCGTTTAGGTAAGTGAGCACAGCCAGATATGGATGCGTCGTAAATGCCTCATGAACATGAAAAATTAAAAAGGCATCTTGTCACGCCAGACTTCCTTCCCATGAAATGTGATGCCTGTCAAGAGATATTCTGCAAGGACCACGTCACTTATGCACACCACAAATGCACCTCGTCTTACAAAAAGGTAAGCCAGAGTGATGCTTTCGTATTTTCACTGCACCCAGTTCTGATTTAATATTTATCTCCACGTACGTTTCAAGTCACGCATAGTTCGGTTGCGTTACATTGAATGGCCACCTGACATAACCAAACTACACATCAATAACTCCATAACTGCTAACACTTGCAGTTTCAACACAGAAGTAAATCATTATACAGAAATAATACAAACATTAAACAGTTCCAGTTTTAATTTTAAAGATACATGCTTTTAGGGTATTCCAAATAGGGTCATTCTTGTAATTTTTTCCCCCTTTTTCCCCCCACAGGATATTCAGGTCCCTGTGTGCCCACTCTGCAACATTCCCATTCCCGTCAAGAGAGGAGAGATGCCTGATATTAAAGTCGGCGAGCACATTGATCGGGATTGCAAATCAGACCCTGCACAGCGGAAAAGAAAGGTTAGAACAAAAACATGTTCTTAGTTTTACCCCATCTTGTGGAACTTTCACGTTTAAATGTCCCCTAAATGAAACCTTTTTGAATGAAGATGAATGAATGAGAATCATTCAGCCCATTTTTTTTAAGATGGCTGTGTTGTATGTCTCTCGGTACCTGCCCTCCATGCCGATGGCTAAGATTTCTAAGAGTAACTAATTTTTTATTTTTATAAAATAAAATAGTAACTATTTTAGTTTTATCCATCTCTGGTCCTAACACTTCCTCTTCTTGATTGCAGATATTCACCAACAAGTGTTCCAAAGGAGGCTGTAAGCAGAAAGAAATGATGCGCGTGACGTGTGACCAGTGTCATTTAAATTACTGTCTTAAACACCGACACCCACTCGACCACGATTGTAAGACCGATGGCAAACCTCTGTCCCAGTCCGGGTAGGTACTTATACAATAATATCCGACTTCGGTAATAATGCTGGTGGTCTAATTCCATGGTGGTCATATATTTTGTTACAGACATGCTGCTTTAATGAGGGCCCAGGATTCTTCCTCCTTCTCCGCCTCATCTTCTTCGGGACACTCCAGGTCAATTTCTAATGGTGGCAGCGTGGCCAGCAGAGGCCAAAATAGCAAGTAAGGGAAAAAAAATGCAATTGTTTATTTGAGTGGCTCTCAAAACCTTTTACACCAACTACCATCTGGGAAAAGGACTTGGCTGTCCAAGTACCATCATGACCAACGTTCAAGTACAGTAGTGTCATAAGACACTGTCAGTGATCGTCAAAAACTAGGCAGTGGCTTTATTTCTAAAAAGTATCATGAATATTATTCTAAGCCACTGTCATATGCATAAATAGAACATTAATGCTGCGCTTAAGCCACTAGAGGGAGCCACACTTTGTGGAATCACAGCTCTATTTTGCCACTTCTTTCCTTCTCTTCCCTTTCCAGCACTAGCCGACCCATGGCGACGTCTGTATCAGCACAGAATGTGGTGCAGCCGTCTGCATCCTTCCAGGCGGGCATGGTATGGAGAGCACGTCGCGCCGGCCTTGATGCGAATGAGCCACATGACCGTTTAGCCTTTGTCTCCTCTGCTTTCAGTCTGACGAGCAGGCCTTACAAAGAGCTCTAGAGATGTCTTTGGCTGAGTCCAGACCACCCACACAACCCACCCTCAGGTGAGCATGTTGCTCTATTAGAGGCTTCTCACTTATGCATGTACGGCGGACTTTGTTTTATCTTTTGTTAGCCTAACAGCATGATTGCGTAACTGCTACTAAAAGAGGGAAACTATTTTGTTCAGATATTTATTTATTAATTTGCTTTTACTCAAGCGAACAAGTGCAATCAGTATGTTTTCAGAGTGTGGTTGTGCCTCAGTCCGCAGGAGCAGGAGGATCTGGCGCTGGCTCAGGCACTGGCCGCCAGCGAGGAAGAATACAGGCGCCAGCAGCAGAGACAACAGGTACCGGCCGGAACAGTTAGCCGACACTAGCATTCTAGCATGTAGGTTCTTGGCCAACATGGTGGCCAATTTTTTTTTTCCACTGGGTGAAATGGGAATTTGGAGTTGTTTGGTTAAACGCGTGATGAAAGAAGTTGATTGTAAGCATCCTTTTTCTTTCTTTTAGGGCCGAGAGTCCAAACAGTCCAACTGCAGTCTTTCTTAATCTTGGACCCGCTGCTTTTTTTTTTTTTTCCCCCCTCAAGATGTGGTAATGTTCCACAAGAGACCTCACAGGCTGGATCCTCAATATCCAGCAATGACGATTGTCTTTTATTATTTTTCAATGAAAGGATCAAAACTAGCTCACTTGCCGCCTTGTAACACTGAAAACTAAGCACACGGCTCAGCTCTCAGCCCAGCAGGTTCTGTCATTTTTTTTACCAATGGGTTGCTATGTACATATTTTATATACATATATGATGATCATAAATCCGTTATATTGCCGTCTATGAAGAATTAATAAATTATTTCAAACATGCCTCCACGATTCGCTTTTGTGCTTACCCTGCTTCGGCTATTCCCACACATGTACAGCAGATGGCAGTATAGCTTCAAGTCGACTACGTTTAAATTTAAAAAAATGTACATTAGTTCCATACGACTGAAGTTTCTCAAAAAAAAAAAACAACTTGTGAACCCAACTACATTTATACGTATATTTTTAAAATTATATCCGCTGTGTAATATATCTAAAAGTGACCTCCAGTGGTGTCATAGCTCTAAATTGGCCTTTTTTTTCAAGCTCTGCTGCTGCCCCGACCGCCCCATTAAACAAATATAAACAAATGAACAGTCTCGGCCAATCCAACGACCCTCTGTCGTGTTGTTCGTAACGCATTTGATGCACTTGTTGAGGCAGAAGATGTACCTGCTCACCCAACTGGTCTCGTTTACATTCCACCGGGATGATGAATGATCTGACGAAACTCGTCTGAGAGACGGTGAGAGACATTCAGGAATGATTCACAGCACTCACCGTGGAAATGTGGCTACTCTAGAATCTGGATTGCACTGTGAAATTGGATGTGTCTACATATATATTGGATGGTTGCCGCCATAGTGTCATGACTGTCCGTGTACTTGTAGTCCGTGTTTGATTTTTGAATTTGTGGGCTTTGGTTCAGAGGAGTCTTTTTTTTTTTTTTTTTTTCTTCCCTCCAGTCGTTTGTCCGAAACGTCCCACGAGTGCTTCGGAATCAAATAATGTCCTTAACAAAATGTTGAGCTTCATTATTGCATTTCTCAGTTCCGCGGCACGGACATGGTTGCCGACTAATTGCGAGTCAATACGGCTTTTCCCCGAGGCCCACCGGTGACAGCCCACCGCTGCTCAATTGTTAATTGCACGCCCACCAGCGGTCTTAAGCGTCGGCATGCTTGCCACTGAATGTTTGTTGTTTTTTTTTTCACAATATCTTAACAGTGAAAGTGAATGCGAAAAACAACGCTACTGACTATAATTCAAAAGTGTATGAAAATCTCCGATGGAACGGCAGGGGGCGCCATCTAAAACCTCGCCAAGGGTTCCACGTTGTGTGGGTTTTTTTCTAATGTCAAATATGCGCCTTGGCTCAACAAAGGTTGTGAAGCTTGTCCAGCTAACAACGCTTCGAAGCACCAAACACCTGAAATGCATCCTTAATTTCCTCAGAGACTCTGATTAATATACTGCGGTGGCTTCCATGGGGGTAGGGGCACGAACAATCTTGGTATGTGCGATTGATTTGTACAGTCCAGCAAATAAGTCAATATTAAACGTGCTCTTGGCCAAACAGGGAAATCTTCTTTTCATAGTTAATTCACCGGGAATGATTACGTGATTGTTGAGGAAAATGAGACCGTCGGTTGTTAGGTCACAGCGGCTTTTATATTGGACTGTTTATTGAGACGCGCATGAGCGACACTTGACAGGCAAATTGCGAGGACGACTCTGCATAATGTCAGCGCTGCAAAACCCTCCCATTAACACAAATCGATTTTTTTTTTGTTATTTCCGAGGGGGAAGTTAACTAGTAGCGCTAGCTCAACTTTGCCCGAGGCCGCAGGCCAGAGCAAGACAGGAACATTGTTTTTTTTTGTTTGTTTTGGTTTTTTTTAAATAATTCACCAGTCTCTTTGTTTGGTGACTCGCTTGAATGTCACGAAAGGCGTCAGGCCATAGTTGGCAATCCATCCTTTTGCGTTTTTTTGTCTTGGTGCCGCCCTTTTTCCAGCAATCCCTGGCCGGTTGCCATGGAGACCCTCATAAGAAACAACTCCGGGAGGTGTTTCTGAATTTAATTAGGCCTGCCTTTTTCCTCCTCACGCTTCCACCTTACATGAAGTCGCGCCCGACGGACAAACGCTTTTTGTGCATTTTGAATGGGTTACATTGATAGCGACGTTGGTGGAAGTCTGGGGTGGGACGATTCACTTACCTCCAGATTTGATTCAAATCACAATACGTGTGTACCGATTAGATTTCTCTCGTGATTATTGATGATACAGCGATTTGTGATTCAATATCACGGGCGCAGTATTTTCGATTGCGTGAATGAAGACCCGTCACCAAACATGACTACTGCACCGCCATTCCAATTTGCGCTGCTTATCAGTGCTTCATGTTGCTAACACTGTAAGCTAACGCTAACCTCTGCTTACATTTTGGCTTTGAGAGGATAGCGTTGGCGGCTGTCGCAGTTTCAACAAAACTCATAACACAAACACCTTTTCAGACAACATTTCTTGGTTGTTTAACTTAAAACTTAATGCGCGGGCGCTGTAGAGAGTTTTTAAATGACACATTTGATTAAAATAACGTGTCCTAATTCATATGACTTGACGAAAACTGTACTGCTAGAAAAATGAACTCTTTAAAAACGGTTTCACTGATGAATGACGGGTCACACGTTAACGGCATCGCCTTCGCTCAGCCGCTCGTTTACGTGTTACACTGTGATGGAAAAAAACAAAAAAAACAAAAACAGCTCTAGGACCTTTTAGAAGGTCATAATCGGCTTGGTTGCCATGGACTGCGGCTATATGTCCTCATGCTCATACCGGAGCTCACTGGAGAGTGTGTGTTTGCTGCCTGGGAGCTTGGATGACTCACTTTCAGTGTCAACAACGAGAAGAAAATCAAGTTGGGACTCCTGAGCAAAGGTAGTCGGAAATTGTCATCAAGTAGGAGTACTACAACTTTGGATTTTGATGACTAATATGACTTGAGTAAAAAGTAATCATAGAAAAAAATACTTGGAGATGAGTAATTAAGTCCATCCATCCATTTTGTATTCATCAGGCCATTTTTGTTAATGCTTACACATAATGGGAAACATCATAGATGGGCTAAGGAATAGCATCCCCATGGTGCTGTTCTAACCCTTTTTGCAACGTATATTTGAACATAAACGGTGAACAATGGATTCATGGCATTTCCATTCATTTTAATAGACAACACTGAGCAAAAGACAGAAAAGAGCTGCCGCAAATGCTAGGTGTAATTATTTACACATTCACACATTCCAGTGAAGTGCAGCAAACACACGCAGGCGCTGAGCCACAATCATCAACAATAAATAATCAGCATCCTCCACCGTCTAAAATTCATGGCTCATATTTATTGTTCGCGGGGTGTCACTGTTTTCATGACTAACCTGAGGCAGAACTGGCATTACCGCTGTAATTAAAATCACGACACTATTTGTTTCCTGTGTTTCCCCCTCACCCCTCCCCGACTGAACCCAACCGCGCATCTTCATCACTGACAGTTAGAACACTCAAACCCCCCAACCCCAAGACCCACGACGTGCCATCGCAGCATCCCTCGTCCTCCTCTCCTTTCTGCAGGGGAAGCGCAAGTGGAGGCTTACCACCGATGGTGAGGAAGAGGACTAGAGTGGGTGGGTGTGAGAATGGCGAGGGAGGGGTGGGGGGGGCAGGGATGGCAGATAGCAACAAGAATCAGATAGCAAGAGGGAACGGAAGGACTCGGTACGGGGAGTCGGTACTGTTACGTCTTCATCAGGTGCGTTGCATGCGGATCCAAATGTTGCATTTCTGGCGAGATTTTTAAAGGCTGATGTGCAAAGTTTAGCGATGCATGCCGTTTGCCTTCGTAATAGTGTTGATGCCTTGCCTGGTAGTTGAACGGTTACTGCGTCGGCATTCCACTGCAGAGGTGCAGGGTTCGAATCCGACGACAGCCTTCCTGTGCGTTCTCAAAAATGTGTGTGGCAGTGCATTTTCTGATCCTCTTCTCTGCAGCTATTCGTGCTCACACTCACATCTACGGACAATGAAAAGAGCTTGTTTATCACCTGACGGGTAGTTGAATGTTTCGTGCGTCGGCATTGCGCTGCAGGGTTCGAATCCGGCTCCGGCCCTGCTGTGCGTTCTTAAAAACATGCATGGATACCCATTTTCTGATCCTCTTCCCCACACAACTATGCACGCTCACAATCACACCGAGGAACAATATACAACATTCATTCCTTACCTGTAAGACAAACGGTTAGTTCATTGGTCCTGCGCTGCAGAAGTGCAGGTTCGATTCCGGCGTTCAAAAAATGCGCGTGGCCATCCATTTTCTGATCCTTTTCTCCACACTCACACCAAGGAACAATTCACAAAACGACTTATACATGGTCTTTTTTTATCCGCTAAAAAACTGCTTACGATACATAGCCATTTTTTTCGGCCAAAAACGCCTTACTATACATGGTTGTTTTTTTCGGCCCAAAAAGCCTTACGATATACATTGTGTTTTTTTTCGGCCCAAAACAGCTTACGATACATGGTCGTTTTTTTCGTCCGAAAACGCCATACTATACGTGGTCATTTTTTTTTCGGCCCAAAATATACTATACATTGTATAGTAAGGCGTTTTGGCCAAAAAACAACAACAATGTATAGTAAAGCATTTTTAGTCGAAAAAAACGACCATGTATAGTAAAGCGTTTTCAGCCGAAAAAAAACGACCATGTATAGGAAGGCGTTTTTCGCCGAAAAAAACGACCACGTATAGTAAAGCGTTTTTAGCCGAAAAAAAACGACCATGTATAGGAAGGCGTTTTTCGCCGAAAAAAACGACCACGTATAGTAAAGCGTTTTTAGCCGAAAAAAAACGACCATGTATAGGAAGGCGTTTTTCGCCGAAAAAAACGACCACGTATAGTAAAGCGTTTTTAGCCGAAAAAAAACGACCATGTATAGGAAGGCGTTTTTCGCCGAAAAAAACGACCACGTATAGTAAAGCGTTTTTAGCCGAAAAAAAACGACCATGTATAGGAAGGCGTTTTTCGCCGAAAAAAACGACCACGTATAGTAAAGCGTTTTTAGCCGAAAAAAAACGACCATGTATAGGAAGGCGTTTTTCGCCGAAAAAAACGACCACGTATAGTAAAGCGTTTTTAGCCGAAAAAAAACGACCATGTATAGGAAGGCGTTTTTCGCCGAAAAAAACGACCACGTATAGTAAAGCGTTTTTAGCCGAAAAAA